TTCCAGTGTTGGAACATTCACAACTTCTGGAGGCAGGTTGTTCCACCAGTTAATTGTTCTAACTACTGTATTAGGAAATTTCTCCTTAGTTCCAGGTTGCTTCTCTCCTTGATTAGTTTCCATCCGTTGCTTCTTTTCCTGCATTCAGGCACTTTGGAGAATAGCTTGACTCCCTCTTCTTTGGCAACCCCTGAGATACTGGAACATGCTATCATGTCACCTCCAGTCCTTCTTTTCATTAAACTAGACACACCCAATTCCAGCAACTGTTCCTTATATGTTTTAGCCTCCAGTCCCCTAATTATCTTTGTTGCTCTTCTCTGTACTCTTTCTAGAGTCTCAACTTCTTTTTACACTGTGGTGACCAAAGTAGGATGCAGTATTCCAAATGTGGCCTTACCAAGGCATTACAAAGTAGTATTAACATTTCACATGATCTTGATTCTATCCCTCTCTTAATGCAGCCTAGCACCGTGTTGGCCTTTTTGGCAGGTGCAGCACACTGCTGGCTCTAGACCAAGGGTCCCCAACCCCCAGTCTGTGGACCGATACCGGGCTACGGCATGCCAGCAACCGGGCCACACTAACAAGCAAAGCCCCATCCACGGGATGCAGGCAGTACATGAAACCACGCCCCCTCCGGTCCGCGGAATAACCTCTCTCCACGGAACCGGTCCCTGGTGCCCAAAAGGTTGGGAACTTCTGCTCTAGACCCTCCTTGGGCATAAAAGTCAGCTGGGTGGTGACTTTGGGCCAATCACCAGGAGATTGTGAGTTCTAGTCCCGCCTCATGCATAAAAGCCAGCTGGGTCACTTTGAACCAATCACCAGGAGATTTTTCACACACACACACACACACTGCTCTGTAGAAACTGTAGAATCCTATATTTTCCCCCTTTCAACTGCAATGCAATGCAGAGCTTCCCAGGATCATCAGGAACTTCAGGCAGCTGAAGCCTGTACACCCCACAGACTATTTTTAAAAACAAGCAAACACAGAAAGAAATCAACCTTCCTACGCCGTCTATTTACGGGCAGGAATTTAAGGGGCAGAATCAGGCCGTCGATGAAGACGGAAGATGTTACGGAGAGAGGGGAAAAACAAATGAATTTCCCACTGTTCGCTGATGAAGTGAGATGGTATTGAACTAAGCCTCAGTGTAAACTTTATTAAAGGTCACACTAATGAATGGCTTAATTCTAGAATTATAAATTAACTCGCGGGGTTTCTGCTTTGTGAACAACTGTGCTCTTCTGGATCTGACTCTCCTCTAAGCGACAGAGGCTCAAGAGAGAGAAAGCAAATTAAGTTCAGAGGGCAACAGTGCCATCTGCTGATAAAAGACATTCATGGCATCTCAGAACTGTATCAATGTACATCTTCTTGTAAAGCAGAAAGTATCATGAAAACTTGGTCATGGATGAAAACTGTTTGTTTATTTAACCGTGGTTCTGTGTGTTTAGATGCTCTAGTCATTCCACATGGGCTTTTTTTAGCAAATTTCAGGAGTGGGGGCCAGTCTCAACCTACCCATTCATTTTGTTATCTATCTATCTATCTATCTATCTATCTATCTATCTATCTATCTATCTATCTATCTATCTATCATCTATCTATCTATCTATCTATCTATTTTATCATCTATCTATCTATCTATCTATCTATCTATCTATCTATCTATCATCTATCTATCTATCATGTCTGTCTGTCTGTCTGTCGGTCGGTCGGTCGGTCGGTCGGTCGGTCGGTCGGTCGGTCGGTCGGTCGGTCTGTCTGTCTGTCTGTCTGTCTGTCTGTCTGTCTGTCTGTCTATCTATCTATCTATCATGTCTGTCTGTCTGTATCTGTCTGTCTCTGTATCTATCTATCTATCTATCTATCTATCTATCTATCTATCTATCATGTCTGTCTCTGTCTCTGTCTCTGTTTCTGTCTGTCTCTATCTATCTATCTATCTATCTATCTATCTATCTATCATGTCTGTGTCTGTGTCTGTGTCTGTGTCTGTGTCTGTGTCTATCCATCTATCTATCTATCTATCTATCTATCTATCTATCTATCTATCTATCTATCTATCTATCATGTCTGTCTGTCTCTGTTTCTGTCTGTCTCTCTCTCTCTCTCTCTCTCTCTCTCTATCTATCTATCTATCTATCTATCTATCTATCTATCATGTCTGTGTCTGTGTCTGTGTCTGTGTCTGTGTCTATCTATCTATGTCTGTCTATCTATCTATCTATCTATCTATCTATCTATCTATCTATCTATCTATCTATCTATCTAGTCTGCCTCTCTATATCTATCTATCTATCATCTATCTATCTATCTATCTATCTATCATCTATCTATCATCTATCTCTATCTATCTATCTATCTATCTATCTATCTATCTATCTATCTATCTATCTATCTATCTAATCTGTCTCATTTTTCAGCAGTGAGTTACCATTGCTTTCTTCCTAGGGCTGAGAGAGAGACTGGCTTTGGGCCCAAGGTTGAACTAGAACTCCCAATCTCCTGGTTTCTAGCCTGGTGCCCCAACCATTTCACCAAACTATTTTCTTCTTTTTAGGACTAAGAAAAGTAATGCAGCCAAGCCAAGCCCTTGAGATACAGAATCCCACTATTTTTGCCAACAACATCTCCCTATCAGTAAACCTACAGAAATAATAGGTCTTGCAAATTCTTCAAAAGAGGTGTTTCAAAACACCTACAAGTATATACAATTTTTTTTTTAAATTGTTAAAAGCAGTCCTGCTTGGCCCAGACTTGTGTGGTTGCTCGAAAAGCTCCTCCTGGTTGATTAAACACATTTATGGACACAACTATTTTGCTTGAAGTGGCTTAGGTGTACATCACAGCTTACAGAGCCAGTGTGGAAAAAACTGAAAAAGAAGCAGCTGCTTTAATGAGACAAAAGGGTATTATGTACCCTTGTGTGTCATGAAGCAGTTCTAAAATTATTTTGATTGTTTTTGAATTTGATCATTTTGAAGAATTTGGCAAAATTCTAAAATTAATATTAATAAAATATTTTTTAAACTATTTTAAAAAATAGAACTATTGAGGATTGCACAAGCTGACACCCCTGAAAAAACAATGTGGTGTAGATTTTTCCACCTCTACCCAGCCTAGATTTAACACTTTATGATACCCATATTTACTCTGCTCCATCAACAGATATTACCAGTGGCTACTGTTTCTTTCTCAGCCAGAAAAACCTGAGACACCTTAATTTATGGCATCAAATAGCTGCACCAAAAGCTTTCCAGCGTATCTACAGAAACTGCTGCAGGGAAGCATTTCCACCTTCTTTTGGCCGAGGCTTTAAAAGAAAGACACGTTAGAAGTCAAGCAACAATCAGTGCTGTATTATAGATTTAGATTTTCGATTAGCTGGGGCATTCCGAAACAGTAATTCCATTAGAAGCTTCAGTCTTGCAATGGCAAAAGAGGAAACTGCAGAAGGCTACAGCGATCAATATCTTGGGAAGATAAAAGGCAACAGAGAAATTGCCCAATAAATATTCAAGTCTCATCCAGGCCCACCTTCCTGAAAGAAGGGTAATTAAAGCCATATTCTAATTAACATAGACTTTGCCCCCAATCAGAAGCATCCTTTGCTGAAAAACTAATGAGGCTGGGAGAATAGGCTGCTGCTTACAGATCCATCTATTGAATTAAAGTGAAAGCAGCCTTTAAAACATGATAATGGGAAAAACAAACAAGCCAAGAGAAGGACAGATTCGCCTAATAGTTGAATGCAAAACACTTCAGATGCTTCTTCTTCTTCTTCCAGTGAGCACTGAGACCCTGTGGAATAGCATGGCCCTAGAGATTCATACGCCCTTTCTTTCTCTCCACTTAAAAAAAAAAATCCTTAAAACTAGGGTTTTCCCACAGGTGTTGGTCTACACAAGATGTAAACCTCTTGTGGGGTGGTTGGTGTGTTAGAATATGTGTGTTTTCCCCTGCCTAGATATTTGCTTTTTGCATTATATTATTTGTATTCATTGTTTGACTTGTTTTATGTAGTATACCGCCTAGCGTTGTGATGGAAACAGATGGCCAATGCATTTAATAGCTTCTTACCCCCCTCCAGAGCCACTCCACCCTTCCTAGGAAGTTTTTTTAAATCCTGACAGTAGGTTTATCTCAGGACACTCAGCACTGAAAGAGGTAAATGTGCATTAGAGAAGCAACATGCCAGTTTTCGGGCAGCTTGAGGCATATTCAGTACAATTCAATGCCCAGTAGGATGACTGCAAAAATGCTCCAACACTGGAAGTTTTTAAGACGAAACTGGACAGCCATTTGTCCGAAATGGTATAGGGTTTCCTTTCTGAGCAGGGGGTTGGACTAGATGACCTCCAAGGTCCCTTCCAACTTTACCATTATTATTATTATTATTATTATTATTATTATTATTATTATTATTATTATTATTATTATTATTATTATTATTATTGTCAACACTGCTAACATTGGATGTTCTTGCTCTGACAAAATATGCAGAGCTGTGTGGTATTTTTAGAGTTAACTTAGATGATGCTGGGAGGGGAGGAGAAAGAATGTATGTGGGTAAATTATTTTAGATAAAAATCCCCTGCTGCAAACGGAAGGGAACCTTTGGCCTTCAAACTGATTGGAGAACGTGATTTATGACAGTAAATTAAGGGAGGGAATATGCTGGCCAAATATGTGCTATGGGGAGGAGAATTTAGATCTTGGCATCCCTCATTCATGCCGTGCCGACATTTTGTTACACGAATAAAAGACTTTTTAGGCTAAACAATGCCTGAAAGTTCTTTGAAGTGTTTCATTAGTCGGAACCATGACAATAGTACACAATGTATACTATAACTATTGACAATAGGCTGAAAGGGAACACGGGGATTTTTGGTTCATTCTGGTGCTCGAATCCAATTTAGTAAGTTTGGGGTTGAGATTTTTAGTGCTTGCTTCCTTCAACTCACCATCTGCTTCCCTTTAACCATAGATGGACAGAAGTGAGTTCCAGCAAGATTCAGTCCTTAAACAACTGGAGGTCCTCAAGGAAGAAGAAAAAGAATTCCAGAATTTGAAGGTAATTTCAAGATTACAGTATTCAAATTTACCTATGCAGATGACCAAAGAGGGGATTGATTTTTCCCAGGGATTATCTGAATCTGCCAGGGAATAAGGAGGGGATTTTATTGCTGTGTAAAACAAACTAAGCCAGAGAAATTAGATTTAAGCAGCACAGCATCGTTGTAATCAATTCCACTGCATGAAAAATTAAAAAAAGGAATGATTTGCACAGGTGTAACCTTTAGTCATGAAATTCAGCAAAGCCAACGAAATCAAGAGAGATTGACGTAGCAGAAGTCAAGGACTTTCAGAATTATGGATGGGAACAATTTCACCTTCTCTGAACCTCTTGCAGATCAGCTTAAGCTGTACCCTCAATAGCATTCTAATTTGGTTTTGTAACAAGATACTAAATTGGTCCTAAAGCTCAGCGACCCAGGTTGAATAAGTTACTGTTTTGTTCAATGAGAGCATAAGCAATTAACCTAGTCAGGAATACAAGGGAAATTTAAAACAGAGGAAAATCAAGAGGGATACTCTGGATCCAGTTTAGGGGTCATAAATAACAAAGGTAACACTGACCCATTTGAACAGCAGATATAAAGCGTGATTGGCTAGGTTTCAGATGTGCAATTCCAGCATTTCTTACACTCAAGATTTTCATGCAGGAAGACTCCACCCAAACTAATCTTACGTTCATTAGCTCTTTTGGAGTAAGGTCAACCGAGAAATTTCTGACACATGAGAAGGTTTTCATTCCCAAGGACCCTGCCTGTGTTGCTAAAATCATTGTCCTACCACTTGTCAGGGAGGCTGTTTCATGGATTTGGAAGCTGAAGGATATCTGTAGGATAGGTACAAGGAGTGCAAGTTCCAAGAAAGTTGAAGCAGTCAGTCCTCCCCCTAACCATTTAGCTGGATCTGAGACCTCAGGATAGTCTACTTCAACTCTTCTTCATAGGAAGAGAGAAGAATCAGCTCTCCCTATGAAACAGCGTTTGATAGTCATAATACTTGCAAGGCTGCAGCTATTTTCTTTTTTGAAAAAAGTTGCCATTTCTGCACTGTATTGTTTTAAAGGGAGATGAATCATTATGCACACAAGTTGCACAATTTAGTAGAGCCATCCATTTGTACTGTAAGTAACAGTATTGTTGAGCACCAGAGCTTTCATGTACTTATTTAGCAGCACAATGTATGCTATTATTATTATGTCAGTATCTGAGGGGCTGCCACAAGTCAGAGGGGGTCAGATTGTTCACCAGAGCACCAAAGGGAAGAACGAGAAACAATGGTTGGAAACTGATCAAAGAGAGAAGCAACCTGGAATTAAGGAGAAATTTCCTGACAGTGAGGACAATCAACCAATGGAACAGCTTACCCCCAGAAATCATGGGCTGGAAATTTTTAAGAAGAGACCGGACTGTCACCTGTCTTAGATGGTATGTCTAGTTTAATGAGTATGTCTAGTTTAATGAAAAGAAGGACGAGGGGGGACATGATAGCAGTATTCCAATATCTCAGGGGCTGCCACAAAGAAGAGGGAATCAAGCTATTTTCCAAGGTGCCTGAAGGCAGGACGAGAAGCAACGGATGGAAACTAATCAAGGGGAGAAGCAACCTAGAACTAAGGAGAAACGTCCTGACAGTTAGAATAATTAACCAGTGGAACAACCTGCCTCCAGAAGTGGTGAATGCTCCAACACTGGAAGTTTTTAAGAAGAGACCGGACAGCCATTTGTCTGAAATGGTATAGGGTTTCCTGCCTGAGCAGGGGGTTGGACTAGATGACCTCCAAGGTCCCTTCCAACTTTATTATTATTATTGTATAGGTTCTCCTGCTTGAGCAGGAGGCTGGACTAGAAGACCTCCAAGGTCCCTTCCAGCTCTATTCTATTCTATTCTATTCTATTCTATTCTATTCTATTCTATTCTATTCTATTCTATTCTATTCTTTATTCTATTATTTCATCCAGAATCAGAAACAACTTAAGTCTCCCTTGCTCTCTATACTCCTTTGTTACTGTGGGGTCCTTGGTGTTCTCTGAGCTGGCCGTTTCCTTGCAGATGTTTCATTACCATCTAGGTAACATCATCAGTGGTAAGCAGTGCACCAAGCTCAGAGAGCACCAAGGAACCCTACAGTTCAATCCTGAGCCACAAATATTCTATCAGTTGTTACTCCTTACTCATCCTCCCTTTGGCACTTCAACATCGTTATACTATAGCAGAGGTCTCCAAACTTGGCCACTTTAAGACTTCAATTCCCAGCATAGCTGGCTGAGGAATTCTGGGAGTTGAAGTCCACAAGCCTTAAGATTGCCAGGTTTGGAGACCTTTGCTGTATAGGTTAAGAACTTAAAGATGCTGCGCCAGTCCTGGGCGATGCTCCCATTTGGATTCCATGCCATCTCCTGTTCAAAGAATGGGGAGAAAAGCAACAGCCTTGAGTTGATTCATTGTCTTGGTCTACCCACTTCAAGTTTTCTTCTTTCTGCTGTAATATCCAGCAAGCAATCCCCATGATTCCCATTCAGTAGGATAATTATCCACGAGGAGTGACAATTATTAGAGTGATAATCCGCATCTGGAGGCAGAACTTTAGAAAAGGACACAATGAAGAGCAGTAGATTCCCCGGATTTCGGATCTAAATCAGTTAGATTTTGGGATGATGGAAATGTAATTTGGGGAGTGTAATTCTGGATAGAAAGCATGTATTTTTACTACAGTGCAACAGTATATCTCCATAGCTTTGCAAAGCTGGATGTTCTAGTGATTAAAAATGCCAAGGAATATATTTTATCTCCAGTAAACCAGCCCTGTCTTTCTATTAAAAATCTGCTTTCCGTTTTGGTCAGCCTCCTTTATGCAATCACAAAATCCCAAATCTCTTGGGAGGATAGCGCCTTCAAGCTCCTCCACCCCCCCCCTTCTTAAATGAAGCTTTCAACACCATTTTTCGGGCATGCACAGGAAGAAGTGGAGCTTCCAAAAGCTGGTTCTCTCCTTTGAAACCTGAAGGCCTCTATCTTCAAGCGAAGTCTTCGCCATCTTACGTTCTTCTGCCCTGAAATAAATCCCAAGTCAATCACTGCAGCTTTAATTTTTTATTTCCCCCGCCCCCACCAAGGGGGCAGCATTTCCCTCCCATTCCTTTCTAGAGAAAGATGGAAGGGGAAGAGAGATGGTGGGATTAATTGATCAATTAATAGGATGTGCCAACATTTTTATCTGAATAGTTTCCATGGTAATAGGAGCATTGCCTTCATCGTGGTGGGATAAACTGCCATTTTCTTTGCCAGATTTCCAACTGGGCTAAAGCTCTGTCCGATGAAAGGGAAGAATATTTGAGAGAGAATATTAGAATGGCAGGCTTAGGAGAACTATGGGGCAGACAATTGTGTTACTTATTTGCAGGAGGTTGTCACCTTACAGCCACAACTGAGCCCAAAATTTGCAAATCTAGACAGGATACTAAAAAGCAGAGACATCACCCTGCCAACAAAAATGCGTATAGTCAAGGCCATGGTTTTCTCAGTTGCAATGTATGGCTGTGAAAGTTGGACCATAAGAAAGGCTGAGCGCCAAAGAATTGAGGCCTTTGAACTATGGTGCTGGAGAAGACTCCTGCGAGTCCCCTGGACTGCAAGGCGATCAAACCGGTTAGTCCTAGAGGAGATCCACCCCGACTGCTCTTTAGAAAGCCAGATCCTGAAGTTGAAACTCAAGTACTTTGGCCACCTAATGAGAAGGAAGGACTCACTGCAGAAGAGCCTAATGCTGGGAAAGATGGAGGGCAAGAGAAGAAGGGGACGACAGAGAAGGAGGTGGCTGGATGGAGTCACTGAAGCAGTAGGCGTGAGCTTAAAGGGACTCCAGAAGATGGTAGAGGACAGGAAGGCCTGGAGGAACGTTGTCCATGGGGTCGCGATGGGTTGGACACGACTTCGCAACTAACAACAAAGCAAGGCAGTTGTTAAATGAGTTTTGCCCCATTTTACAACCCTTTTGCCACAGTTGTTAAGTGAATCTGGAGGTCATTAAGCTTCCATATTAAGCATTCACCTTGCTTCCCCAATCTCTCTTAAAAGTGTCTCCGTCAGTTATGTTTATTTGCATTTAGAGATGATTTTTTTTAAAAAAAATCAGCAAAAGTAGATTTAAAAACCTGAGAATCTCCATTTATACGTGTAGACATTTCAAATATTCACAAAATAGAAATTCAATTATTTGCAATTACAAGGGAAGAAATGAAAAAGGCCTCATTGCAATTTACCTCTATGACCCCCATTGCTTCCCATGTATCATTCAGTGGATGAATGATTTCTATTCAGCATACATAAGCACACATTAAGAGGCGTGTTTGATGTGTTTCTAAATGTTTGATGTGCATATTTCATACTTACATTGTTTCTCAAATACAGAGGTATGAAAGCATAAGTACAACTGTGTATTCACGTAGGATTAAATTGCTAAATGCAAAACTGCATGGGCGAATTTCACACAGTGATTCAAAATAAAAATTGGAATGTTTTTACCATGAAAAAAGCAAGCTCTCCAAGACCTGTGCATTTATTTATTCTCATGAAAGGCATCACAGCCCCCATAATACGCATGGCGAATTGAACATATAATCACAGAGAAGCAGAATTTCTACTATATGAAATTATATAGCTGGAAATTATACCAATACGTAGGCTAGAAATGTTGAACCAATAATGATCCATTTCCACTGAAAATCAATTACGCTATCATATATTTTTGGGCCTGATTCATTTATTGCAACTTCTCATTTCAAATTACAGATAATAAATATCTTTGTGAATTCTTATTTCACTTACCAGGCGCCCTGTGGAATGGCTGCCCACAGGCACAGGTGAAATATTGCAGGAATGCACAATGTTCCTTTCTATCAATGAGAATAAAACCATAGTGGCATTTCTAAGATTGATCAGAAGTGACTAGGTCAGAGAATGGCAGCTCTTAGGGAGTGAAGTCTGCCTTCAGTTTCAAAACTTAAATTCTGTATTTGTAAAATTCCTAATTTTAGTCCACACAAGATGGAATACAGTTGCCTTCTCTACAGAACATACGCTGCTCATTCTTAATGGAAAAATAATCATAGATGATAGATGACAGAAGATAGAGGTAGATATAGATGATAGATAAATAGAGAGAGAGACAGACAGACAGACACAGATGATAGATAGATAGATAGATAGATAGATAGATAGATAGATAGATAGATAGATAGATAGATAGATAGATAGATAGATAGATGAAAAAGAGATGATAGTTAGAAAGATGATAGATTTGATAGACAGAGAGACAAATAGATAGATGGAGAGAGACAGAGACAGAGACAGAGACAGACCAACAGACAGACATGATATACAGATAGATAGATAGATAGATAGATAGATAGATAGATAGATAGATAGATAGATAGATAGATAGATAGATAGATAGATAGATAGATAGATAGATAATGAAAGAGAGATGATAGAAAGATGATAGATGACAGACAGAAAGATGAAAGAGAGAAATGATAGTTAGAAAGATAATAGATGATAAACAGACAGATAGATGATACATAGATAGATGATAGATTGCTGAACCTGTGCAAGGAACAGCTAATTAAAATTTACAACATTTCCCCCCTCTTTCTCTGTAGGAGAAAAGTTTGCCAAAAACCTTCGTCTGAAGAATGAACAATTAAGCCCTCCTCTTGCACAACCTGGCATCTATTGTAATGCCAGAATCCAAAACACAACCCTGCACCAAGAAATAAACTTTTTTCCCCCCTTGTTCTTTCCAGGATCCCACGAATGGCTATTACAGCGTGAACACCTTCAAGGACCACCATTCCACGCCCACCATCTCTCTCTCAGGTTGCCAGCCGGAGATGAGGCCAGCCAACAAGCAGCGTGTGCCAACCGGCATGTCCTTCACCAACATCTACACCACCCTGAGTGGGCAGAACCGTCTCTACGACTACAGCCAGCGCTTCATCCTGGGCATGGGGAGCAGCTCCATCGAACTGTGTGAACGGGAATTCCAGCGAGGCTCCATGAGTGACAGCAGCTCCTTCCTGGACACGCAGTGCGACAGCAGCGTCAGCAGCAGCGGGAAGCAGGACGGCTACGTACAGTTTGACAAGGCCAGCAAAGCTTCAGCCTCATCTTCTCATCACTCACAGTCCTCCTCTCAGAACTCAGACCCCAGTCGGCCTCTGCAAAGGAGGATGCAGACCCACGTGTGAAAGGACAGGACAACACTGGCAATGGACACGATGGGGAGGGGGGGGAAGGAGGATAGGATAAGACTGCCGAGCGAGCGGGACAAGAGACCACCTGAGCTGAATCCTGGCGCTGCTGAAGTCAGCCAATCCTGGGGGGATGGAGGCTGTTTGACCAGTTTATGTGTGTTCTAGTGACCTTTAGCTCCACAAAGCACTTCTTCCCCTTCTCTAGAGTAAAGGCTAATAATGCAAGGTGGGGGGGGAGCTAGACCGAGCCTTGTGTTGCAGATAGAACTCTTCAAAGAGACCTATGCCTTCTTTCCTAGACTCCCTTCCACAAGGGGGGAAGGACTCACGACAGCTGAACCCAAACTAACCTTAAGCACAATGCCCATTTCCTTCCTGTAGCAAACGCAGGCTTGGAAGGGGGATGGGAACAAAGAAAAGGGAAAGGACGGATAACTTATTTGGGATAACCTGTAGGGTGGAAACAAATCCCCTGGCCCCTTCTTTTAGGGAGGGCAGGCTTCTAAACCCATCTGTGCAAGAGTAACAGAGCATCCGTGGCTTTCAGTGCGAGGCTAAGCATCCTTGCTTTTCCTACCAAACCAGATGGTCTCCCTGGAGATATGTAGGTAGTTATGACCATCCATCACCTACCAACAATTTGTATTTCCCAGTTCATCCAACTGTTCATCCAACTGCCCAGGAGAGACATCTAAGCTATCTTTCTCTGGCAGGTCATCTGCCTTTGGTTGGCTCCTGAAGATAAATGGACTGATGGTTCTACTATGCTTAGTGACATCGATTCCTGTCTGTGGACATTTTGGAGAAGGTGCATCTTCAACGCCCGCCCGCTGTCACCTGCACCAGCAAAACCACCCTCCCTGCTGCTTAGCCTCATTTGCAAATTATAAGGGGTGGGGGGGTGGGGAGCTGTGTCCTTCAAAGCAACCTCAGACAACTGTGGCTTAACTTAAGGAAGTTTCAGTGTGAGGGGGAGGGGGACAGCCATTGGTGTAATAACGTGCACTGACTGCTAATCCTGGTCTTTTTATTATTTTTAATGACTTTTATTTTGTTTGGTGTTTGGTGTTTGATCATATTACAATGTGTCTTTGGACAAAAAACAAAACAAAACGGAGTTGAGAACTTTTAAGAGTGGCTTCTCAGCAAAACACCCAGATATGCCTATAGATCAGTGATGGCGAACCTTTTAGAGACCGAGTGCCCAAACTGCAACCCAAAACCCACTTATGCATCGTCGGGTGCCGGGTGGGTGTGGCCCATTGGCTGGGCGTGGCTGCGGTGGTAACGGCAGAATGGGTGGGACTAAAAAGTTCAATCAATCAATTCCAACTTTGGAAGATCTTTTTTTTCCCCGCGAGAAGTTGAAATTGACTGATTGAACCTTATTTTTTGTACACGGCGGTGGAGGCCTAAAGCGAAAAGGTTTTATCAAACCCAGCTGAAGGCCTAGGACTGGGGTGACAGCGCGCGTGCCCACAGAGAGCGCTCTGAGTGCTGCCTCTGGCACCCATGCCATAGGTTCGCCACCACTGCTATAGCCCATCCATCATACTCTGATTTTGATTAAGAGGAACTTTTGGTGGAGGGAAGACTGAACTCTTTTGAGTGACGTGTGACAATCACTGCAGGCACCCAGTGTCCAGAGCAGGCTGCTGCTGCTGCGAGTGAACATAAAACATTTCTTACCGCTGCTTCTGTATTCCGTGCCCTCCCTTTCCCCACAACAGCACAACTGGAAGATTAATACAACAATTGTTACAAGCACCGTGGCAGTGGGTCCTCTGGAAACCAGTCTGATTTAAACAACTCTGTTCCAAAAGAGAAAACCACACACAGCATTTAGCACAAGCAACGTATGCATTGTGTGATTGCTTACTTTCAGAATTCAGGGCTTAATCTGTGATAAAGGTGCAAAAGTTTTCGAAGAAAAAGTCAGGAACTCCTGCCCATTTCTTCAAACATATTCTTCTAATCATATCACCATAGTTTCAACTCCCCAAATGTAGAGAGCAAATATGTTGTCAGTCTTAGCTTCACAACAGAGTTGGACGGGACCTTGTTGGTCTTCTAATCCAACACCCTGCTCAAGCAGGAGACCCTATACTATTTCAGACAAATGGTTGTCCAATCTCTTCTTAAAAATCTCCAGTGATGGAACACCCACAACTTCTGGAGGCAAGTCGTTCTACTGATTAATTGTTCCCTAAGCACCATTCACTGGTGGTTTGAGTCACTGATTTCATTTGATCTTAGCAGCTTATAAGCACTCATTCATACCAACTAATAAACCGCCCTCTGTATAAGGAATAAACTCAATAATATGAATAGTTGAAATCTAGCAGGTACAATGATACAATCAACGAATCCAATTCTTATCCATGTGTGTGTGCTTTTCTCATACAATGCACCCCAGAGAAGAAAGTTTGTTCAGTCTCACAAGCAATTTCAGATCAAAGCTGGTCTGGCAAGGGAAAACTACTAAAAACAAATCAAAATTTGGATCATGTGAGGACATAAATACACTTCTCCTAGAGAAAAAAAACCACAATCTGTTGCTCTAAAAAGCAAGCCAAATTTCTCTGGAGAAGGTGCAGGAAAGAGATGTTGGTATCCTAAACCAGAATCTTTGGGGATGTTAGGACCTACCTTATGGATCAGGAAAAATGGCATCTTGTATCTTCATGACCATTGTACATAAGCGTGCATAGCTGTTGGATTTCCCGCTTAGTTAGCTATCATGGTGTCCAAGTCAGGGGCCTTCAGACTTGGCCCTTTTATGACTTGTGGACTTCAACTCCCAGAATTCCTCAGCCAGGCACACATGCCTGGCTGAGGAATTCTGGGAGTTGAAGTCCACAAGTCATAAAAGGGCCAAGTTTGAAGGCCCCTGGTCCAAATGGTGGTTCTTTTCTAACTTCACCAATAGAAGTTAACAAACAATAGTCTTTTCTGATTCAGCCAGCAGAAGATGAGATGTTTTCCACACACATGCTTTTTTCATATAGGGTGTGCCCTATCATTAAGCTACACTTAAAGCCTATTGCCCACTTCTCAAATAAGGCATGGCATTGGAACTGCAAATTGACTACTAAGAATTTCAAGGCACTTAATTTTTAGAAAGAATTACTCAGCCCATAGGGGTTTCATGGCACATGGAGGGAGGGGTAACCTTCAAAGCTTCCAGCCACCCTGGGGCTTTTTCCCTACAGCCAGTCAGCTAGTCATTAAATGTTTAATCAGTCAAGACTTCTTTAGACCAGTGAGCGACCATTTTGGTCTCTCCGAAGGTTTCAGATGGATGATTTGGACCCATGTTGTTTAGGAAATCCTTGGAAACTCTTGAGTTTAATTTTTTGCAACCATCTTTGCAGAGTGAACAAGAAATAAGTTGAATACTCCCCAGTTCAGACAAAGAAATAAAGGTACTTTTTACTGTTGCTGGAATTATTTTTTTTTTTTTAAAAAATGGGAAATTCAGGTTACGGCTGCCACCTACAGGCCACATCCTAGAACTGCAACCGCTACCTTGCATTATTACTCCTAAGTCAAGGATGTCCAACCTTGGAAACTTTTAAGACTTGTGGATTTCAACTCGCAGAATTCCCAGCCATCCATGCAGAATTCTGGGAGTTGAAGTTCACAAGTCTTAAGGTTGCCACGGCTGGAAACCCTGCTCTAGCTGAAAGCCTGCTAAATGACCTTCACCATTGGCTTCAGCAATAATATATAAAGCTTGAGTAATATGAAAATACTTGGCAACTGATCATCCCTCACAAGCAGTTAATGACTTGTTCAGAGACCCAACTGCTCGGACGCTTTTTTTTTTTTTTTTGCTTTTTTTAAAAAAAATTATCTTGTTGAGTTTACTGTCTGAAGCAAGAATTTCCTCAACCATCTGTTGTTCATTAATAACAACCAACAGTGATAGGCAGTTACACTGGCTGCAAATTGACACCTTGGTTTCACTAAACCTGGAATTCATCAGGAAGCCGGTATGTACAAGTGCCATGTGCTATGTTCACAACCTGGTTCAAAGGCTTATCTCAGAAGCAGAGAGAGAGATGGCACCACTGTAACAAGATATTTTTTTAAAAAAAAACACTATACTGGTTTTGCAAAAGGAGGGCGTACATTCAGGAAATTCATGAGCAATAGCTCTGTTGTGCCGTCCACTCGTCCTTCCATAAGTTAACATTTACAAGGCCAAATTGCTTGGGGATGAGAAAGCATTAAAGACCATCTGCCCAGACCTATTGACTGTACAAGTAGCTATAAGGTAGCAGCCAAATCCCATGGAACCATCCTTTCAACGCAGAGACACAGGTGAGTTGCTTTCCAACAAGTGGACAAAAGTGGCGTTAGGCGATGCCTTGAAACAAATTCTTATGCTGCCTTGGCTATCCATTTCAACAGAAGTTGGGAAGATGCAATTCTAGAAAATCATAGTTCTTTGATTATAATTATTCTGATCCAGTAGATTTAAAAAAAGCACAACTTTTCACGTGGTTCTTTGCCCAGAGCTGACGCATTCATTCACATCTGATCTCTGAGTAACAAGAAGGACATGCTCTAAAGTAGGAAAAGCTGTTCAAAACACTCTTGACAAGAGTTGTCTTTTCTCAACCAATCATTTGCCCCTTTTGCATTTTAGTTCTCCTGTGTGTAGAGAATGAATTCATCCTGCTCTAGAATCAGCCCTTCCTAATCAATCAACTACACATAGCTTTTTTCAAAAAAGTAAAGGGTGCTCAAGGAAGCCACCTTTGCTATCCTCTGATGGGGCCATGCAGCAGTAGAGAAGCCAAGTCATCCACCACTGCTTCACTTTCCCCAAGCTGGGGAACAGGTAGGGTGTTCACAAGAGGGAAGGGTGTCCAAAAAAAAGGTGTGACGGTGCTCCCAAACAGGTGATTTGAGTTTCATTTGGCCTTCGAGTTGTATAGTTGGGTTTGCCATATTGACTTCATTGACACATACAGCACCATGGACAT